GCACCCCTGACCTTTACCCAAGAGTTTTCCTTTCCCAATTCAAAGAAACATTTAAGGAGGTGGAAATTCCAGTTACCCTGATGCAAGCATTACTCATTATGTGCACGTATCAAACGACCACATTATTGCATACATATTTATAATTAATACACCAATAAAATCTTTCTTGATAAATGTGAAGAAAAAGAGCTTTCCTAACACAGCATGATTATACAGGAGGTAGGGACAGCCATGGGGCAGTTAGCAGGGGGCAGGGGATCATAGGTGATATTGTCCCCCAAATCTCCAGGACAATCAGGGGACACAGCCCGGATGGAGACGCAGGACCCAGGAAGGCTCTGCTGGAGGACACCCCAGTGGACAAGGTGAGGAGAGATGCGGGATGGGCAGATGACAGTGGCAGGTGGAGGTGCCCTGGGACTTGGAGCCAGGCCTGCGGGTCATGTCGTGAGGCGGCCCAAGTAAAAAGGGAGGCTGCTGGCCAGGTGTGGTGCACACACCTGTATTCCCAGGTACTTAGGAGGCTGAGGCAGGAGGATCACAAGTTTGAGGCCATCACAAGGAACTTAGCAAGATCATCTCTAAATAAATAAATAAAAAAAGGTTGGAGATGGAGCTCAGTACTTCCCAGGCTCCATCCCCAGTAGTGAAAAATGAAACAAAACACAGGAGCCTGCTGTGGATGGGATGCGCTGGAGAGCTTGGAGGAAAGGTTTTGTTTTGAAAATTCTTGGAAGAGTGGTTTAAAAATCCACGATGTAAAAGTCACTGTCTCCACTTTTTTAATCATGTAGTCCCCCAGCATTAAGGACATTCACACTGTTGGGCCACCAATTCCCAGAATGTTTCCATCTCATAAAACTGGGACCCTGTACCTAGCAAGCAATTCCCCAGTTCTGCCTCCCCAGCCCCTAGACACCAGTGTCCCATCTTGTCTCTAGAAACCTGACTACTCTATGGATCCATATGTGGAGGATTGGACGGTGGTTGTCTATATGTGACTGGGAGATTTCAGGTGGCAAAATGACCTCAAGCTTGTTCCTTCTTGCCCGGTCAGGGTCCCCTAGCTTTCTCTCACTTTTTTTTTTCGGTACCAGGGATCAAACTCAGAAACTTGTGCTTGGCAGGCCATTGCGGTGCCGCTGAGCTCCATCCCCAGCCCCCCAACCTTTCTAAAGGCTGGATGATAATGTTGTGTGTGTGGCCCACACTGTGTGTATTCATTTGTCCATCCACAGACACTTGGGGCATCAGCCCATTCCCACTGTGCTAACAAACAGCTGAAGGTGGGTAAGGGACACAACAAAGAGGTCTGTTTATCTCACAGACTTGGACGCTCAAGGTCTTGGTGCTGACCTCTTCCAGTCTGGCTGGCTGTGTCCAGGACGAATGTCACCAGTGCTGCACGGCAGGAGCAAGGGGATCACATGGAGAGACAGGATCTGGGAGTGGAGGGGGAGGGTCTTGCTCACTCATCACACCCCCTTTCCTAGGTGCTAACTGGGGTCCCAAGAGAGTGGTCACAACCCCTTCTAGTGAACACCCTCAAATGACAGAGTCACCTCCGCTGTGAAAATGTCCCCCCACCTCTCAGCTCTGTCACCACATTGGGGACCAAGCTGACGACACATGAACATCTGGGAACACAAACCATTTCCTAACCATAGCACCAAGCCACTCCCCATCGTGGATAATGTGAATCGTGCTGCTCTCACCCTGGTGCCCAGGTCTGAGTCCGTGTTTGCTATGGCTTGTGTCTAGCTGTCCCTCCAAAGCCTCATGTGCTCATAGGCAGGGCCTTCAAAAGGTGATTGAATCACGGGATGCTATCTTTACAGGTAATGTTAAAGAGGTGGGGCCAGAAGAGGCAGGTCACTGGAGGCATGGCTTGGATGGCTGTATCCCCTTCCCTGGCTCCTCCCTTCAAATTCTGCCTTCCAGCCACCACCAAGTGAGCAGCTTTCCTCCACCAGGGCCTTCCACCATGCCTTCCTGCCTTGGAGCCAGCCAGCTATGGACGAAAAATGTGAGGAAAAACAAACCTCTCCTCCTTTTAGTTGTGGGTGTTGGGTATTGTGTCTGAGCAATGAGAAAATGAAAGTGACTAAAACAGATGTTGTGTGACTAAGATTTTGGTACAGAGAGATGGGCCATTGCTGTGATGCTACCTGATCATGTAGCTCAGAAGCCATTGGAACAGATTTGCAGGAGTTTGGAAAGATTTGGAAATGACTGGCTGGAGAAGTAGCCCTAGAACACTGAAGCTGAGGTTGGGGAGACTGGTCAGAGTTTAGAGGACCAGAATGCTGATAGAAATGGAAATGGTAAAGACCAGGTTCAGAAGGTTTCAGTTAGGAAAAAAGCCCTGTGTATTACATCCTGGCAGTTGGACTCCAGGCCATATGTGTTATGCCCTGGCAGAAAATTTGTCTACATTTCGCTCATGTCCTAAGACTTTTTGGGAGGTGAAAATTAAGTGCATTGGATTAATTAATCTGGTGGAGGACATTTCAAACCAGCCCAATGTTCAGACCATGGCATGGGTACCGTTGGCTGATTTTAGTGAGATTTACACTGAGAAACTAGAGGAAAAAGCTCATTTAAAAAGTTTTCAGTTAGCCAAGTGTGGTGGCACATGTCTGTAATCCCAGCACTCAGGAGGCTGAGGCAAGAGGATTGAGGCAAGCCTAGGCTACACAGTGAGTTTAACACTAGCCTAGACTATATATCGAGATCCTGTCTCAAAAGCAAACAAAGTTTTCAGTTTCCCTAGAAAGGAAAGGCTGGCAAAGTTGGAACAGAGGAGAGCTTGATTGCTGAAACAATTAGCATTAAGAAGAAGCCAAATAGTTCCAACAGGACAATAGGAAAGATGTTTTGAGGGCATTTGAGGAATCAGCAAGACCCCACCCCTTGAAGACTAAGAGGCGCAAAAGTGAGATTTTACTTAAAAGAACCCCAGGACACCCCTGGGGGTGCAGGTGGAGGAGAAGGGCTGCCTAGAGAGTTGGTTTCTCAGGATTCAGCTTACAGTACTCAGCCATCCACACTCAGAGGCTACTGCAACCATGACTGAAGGGAACCCAGCTATGGCTTGAGTTGGTGGCAGACTTTGGGGTCATCCATGTAGTGTTGGTTGGACAGACTTGCAGAATTTCAGAGCTGTCAGGTTAGGAAGCTTCCACCCAGATTTCAGAAGAAGGCCTGAGAGTCCAAGTAGTGTGGCCCTGAGGGCAGTGCATGAAGCTCTGAGAGGAAAGCTGAAAATGCAGTGGAGACCCCAGGAAGTTGGAGATGCCAGGAATGTGGATCATCTATTGAGGAAAGCAGCAGGCAGTAGGCACAGTCACCCCACAAGAGAGGCCATAAGAGCTACAGCTGGCAATGCCATAGTAGTGGGGCCACTCAAGCTGTTTGGAGCACATATCTCTGCTCTGGGTGCTGGTCTTGGAGCTACAGGATTTAATGTTTGCCCTGCAGGGTTTTGGTCTTCCTTTGGTCTGATTCCTTTCTATTTCCTGTACCTCCTTTAGGAATGGGTATGTTTACCCTGTGTTATTGTATGTTGCAAGTGTTTAACTTTCTTTTTATTTTTACGGGGATTCACAGCTAAGAGTTTGCTTTAAATGTCAGAAGAAACTTTGGACTTTTCAGTAGTGCTGGAACTGTTAAAACTTTAGTGACTTCTAAAGATGGAGTTAATGCATTTTTAATAAGGAGATGTACATCAACCTTTTGGGGCCCAGGGGGAGAATGTTGTGGCTTATATCTAGATGTCCCCTCAAAGCCTCTTTCATGCATAGCTGGGACTTTAGAAAGGTCATGAGTCATGGGGGCTGGACAGCTGAATGTGCTGTTAGGAGGTAGGGCCTGATTGGAAGGGGGTGGGTGGGAAGGAGGTCCCTCCCCTGGCCACATCCTCCCTCTGAGCTCTGCTTCAGCTGCCATGAGGTGAGCATTTTCCTCTGCCAGGCCCTTCTACTGTGCCTTCTTGCCTTGGAGCTCTCGACTATGGACTGGAAATGTGAGACAAAATAAACCTTGCTTCCTTTAAGTGTGAGGTGTTGGGTGTTTTGTCCCAGCAATAAGAAGGTGATGCAGACAGTGTTCCTGGTTCCTTTGAACATACATTCAGTAGAAGGGTTGCTGGATTACAGAAATACTTTTTTTTTTGTACTGGGGATCGAACTCGGGTCCTTGCGCTTGTGCAGCAGGCGGCAAAACCACTGAGATAAATCCCTGGCCCTGCAGAAATACTTTTTAACATATGCTGAGGCTAAAGAAATTCTTAGCTTCTTATCAGAGGCTACCCTGGGGTGGCCTGGGATTCACCCCTGGGCCCCATCTCCTGGTCCACATGGGAATGGGGCTCAACCTTATTGGCACAAGCAAGCAGAGGTGAACACACACACACACACACACACATGAGGCAGGCACACTGCAGACACAGACATGGCTCACCAGCCCCACCGATTCGCACACAAGTCACTCAGGGCCCACATTCCTAGGCGCCCTGACTGCCCCTGTCAAGCCTGGTAAGAAGACAGCTGGGTGACAGGGCTGCTGAGTGACTCTACCTGCATCTGTCCCTCCTTTCTGGGGCTCCTGGCATCTGGAGGCCAAACCGAGCCTCGGGCTGTACCCTGACAGCCTTGCTCCCATCAGCACCCGGGACAGAGCCTGGCCCCAATGCTCTCTAGGGTGGAAAAGGCGCCTCAGCTAAGGGCATTGGTTCCTGCTCCCTGCCCCTGCCCGAGGGGGACGCCTGGGCCCCTGCTGAGCTGGTTGTGTGAGGATCCCTTCCCGGGCTGGCCTGGCCTTACCCTGCCCCTTTCCTTGAGTCACAGGGCAGGAATGGGTCAGAGTGGCTGCTGGGAGCAAGGGGAGGGACACGAGGACTTTTACAGTCCGAACAAAGTCCTCCTTGACATAAGCAGAGCTGCCTGTGCGGCTGCTGGTCCTCTGCCGTCCCAGCCTCCCACCCACCACCATCCCCAGACATGCAGGGAGCCCGGGCGCTGCTGCTGCTGCCACTGCTGCTGCTGGGCCTCAGGCTACGGCTGACCCTTGGCATCATCCCAGGTAATGCAGCTCCCCCAAGCCCCCCCACCAAGGACCACCTCTGCCCCGGCCTGACCCGGACCCCCTCTCCCCTGGCCAGAGGAGGAGGAGAACCCGGCCTTCTGGAACCAAAAGGGGGCCGAGGCTTTGGCAGCTGCTAAGAAGCTGCAGCCCATTCAGACTGCGGCCAAGAACCTCATCCTCTTCCTGGGGGACGGTGAGTGTGCAGGGCCGGGGCCCCTCCACCTCTGCCTCCTCCGCCTGGCCCTGCTGAGTCCAGGCCAGCCCGGGGCTCAGCCTGACGGGTTCTGCGCCTCAGGGATGGGGGTGTCCACGGTGACCGCCACCAGGATCCTGAAGGGGCAGATGCAGGGCCACCTGGGACCAGAGACGCCTCTGACCATGGATCGATTCCCATACATGGCGCTGTCCAAGGTGAGCAGGGCTGGGGAGGGCCCAGGGGCAGTGGGCACAGGCTCAGGTCTGGGTACAGACTGGGCTCTGCCTAGAGCACAGCTGAGGGCGTCTCTGTGCCCAGACCTACAGTGTGGACAGACAGGTGCCAGACAGCGCAAGCACAGCCACCGCATACCTATGTGGGGTCAAGACCAACTACAAGACCATCGGTGTGAGCGCTGCCGCCCGCTTTGCCCAGTGCAACACAACCTGGGGCAACGAGGTCAAGTCTGTGATGTACTGGGCCGAGAAAGCAGGTGAGCTGGGGCTGGGACTGGGGACAGGAGTTTGCCCAAATGAATGGCCCAGCACACACTGAGCCCTCTGTCCTCTTCAGGGAAGTCTGTCGGAATTGTGACCACTACCAGGGTCCAGCACGCCTCGCCGGCAGGCACCTACGCACACACCGTGAACCGCAACTGGTACTCGGACGCCGACATGCCCGCCTCAGCGCGCCAGGAGGGCTGCCGGGACATCGCCATGCAGCTCGTCTCCAACATGGACATTGACGTGAGCTCGAAGGGCGGGGAGGGCCAGGAAGGAAGGTGCACCCGCCACTGGCCAAAGTCCCAGGTGTCCCACGGCTCAGCCCTGCAGCCTGCCTGGGCCCAGGAGCTGGGGCAGCGGCCAGTGGAGCAGGCCCCGCCCAGGGCAGGCCACACAGCCTGGGAGGGGACGCTGGGACTCGGGAGGAGGGGACAGGGGCCCTTCAGCCCAGGTCCCGTCTCTGACCACAGGTGATCCTGGGCGGGGGCCGCAAGTACATGTTCCCCAGGGGGACCCCGGACCCCGAGTACCCAAGTAACACTGCCCAGGGAGGAGCCAGGCAGGACGGGAAGGACCTGGTGCAGGAGTGGCTGTCCAAGCACGAGGTGACAGGCGCACGGGGTGGGCCCTGGGGGTCGGGACAGACTGCGGTCTCGGGCTGTGGGCTGAGGCCTGGCTGTCCCCGAAGGGCTCTCAGTACGTGTGGAACCGCACAGAGCTGCTCCGGGTGTCCCAGGACCCGTCCGTGACCCGCCTCATGGGTGAGAGCCCTCCCGCCTGCCCCTGGGTGGCCCCAGACAGCCGCCCTGCAGCACGTGTGAACCCCTGCCATGACCCCTGCCATGACCCCTGCCAGCCTGGCAGTCACCCTCGGTCCCTTGTCCCTCAGGCCTTTTTGAGCCTTCTGACACGAAATTTGAGATCTCCCGAGACCCTGAGCTGGACCCGTCCCTGGTGGAGATGACGGAGGCAGCCCTGCACGTGTTGAGCAGGAACCCCAACGGCTTCTACCTCTTCGTGGAGGGTGAGGGGGGCGCCTGGCACACAGGCCGGGAGGGACATCCGGAAATAATGGAGCAAGCTGCAGCTGTCCTGGGTTCCTGCAGGGGGCCGCATCGACCACGGCCACCACGAGGGGAGTGCTCATCTTGCCCTTACTGATGCGGTCATGTTCGACTCCGCCATCGACAAGGCCGGGCAGCTCACCAGCGAGCAGGACACCCTGACCCTCATCACCGCCGACCATTCCCACGTCTTCACGTTCGGGGGCTACACCCTGCGGGGGACCTCCATCTTCGGTAGGCCAGGGGCTGGGCGGGTGCTGCTGCTCATTTGATGGCAAAGGTCTCTCTGAGCCTCAGTTTCCTCATCCGTCCAGTGGGCAGGCTGATGATAGCACTGCTTCGTGTGGATCTTGGTGGGATTCAGCTCAAGATCACACCCAAGGTGAAGGTGTGTCGGGACACATGCCCACCAGCGGCGCTCAGTGCCACCTATGCGCCCCCCTCCCCCTGCAGGGCTCGCCCCCTCCTTAGCCTCAGACTTTAAAAACTACACCTCCATCCTGTACGGAAACGGCCCGGGCTTCCCATCCGCTTCCCCCAGGCCTGATGTCAGCAACAGTGAGATTGGTGAGTGCTACCAGGTCCCCTTCCCTGGCGGAAGTCGGGGGACAGACTGGAAGGCCGAGGCGGTGGCTCTCCTGGAGAGCCCTGCTGACCGCTGTGTGCCCTCAGGTGACCCCAAGTACCGGCAGCAGGCGGCCGTGCCCTTGGCGTCAGAGACCCACGGCGGCGAGGACGTGGCGGTGTTCGCGCGCGGCCCGCAGGCGCACCTCATGCACGGCGTGCAGGAGCAGAGCTACATCGCGCACCTCATGGCCTTTGCCGGCTGCCTGGAGCCCTACACCGCCTGCGGCCTGCCGCCGCCCGGCCAGAGCGCAGCCACGGAAGCCCCCACGGACGCCCCCACGGACGCCCCCGCGGACGCCCGCGCGGACGCTGCGCCGCCTTCCCTGGCGCTGTTGGCCGGGACCGCGCTGCTCCTGCTGGGGGCGACCGCTGCGCCCTGATCGCAGTCCCCGCCGGCTCCGCCCCGGGTCTCCCTGCACCCTCACCACCCTGGTTACAGGGGCCGCCAAACTGAACTGCGACCCCATCCATCCTCGTGCTGGGACCTCTGTCACTCACCCCAGCTCCTGCAGAGAAATCCCCAGGGCCTGGCCAAGGCCCCTCCAGTCTGGGTAGTGACCTGCCTCAGAGCTCAGCGCTTCCTCCTCACCCCTGACTGCGCCTCCACCCACTGGGGTGCCCTGGAGCTCGTCTCCCTGCGTCCATCTGAGGCCACATTGACCCCTGTGTCCATTGCTGCGGCTCTGGCACTGGGCTTCCAGACTGCGGTTGCCTGCACCCCAGGAAAGAGTTGAGACCGGCCACTCTGCACCCCACCTGCAGCATGGGGACCAGTGGGCATTGGCTCCGGGGTCCCCACTAGGCTGGCCTTGACTCTGGCTCACCTTGGTGAGCTGGAACCACTGATTTAGGAACAAGGATTCCCTGCCCTCCTGGGCCACCATTCTCCTGGAGAGACAAAGTAACTATAAAGAGAACTGTGAGACCCTGAGACAGAGTAAGCCCCTGGTTCTTGCTAAAAAACTGAAAAGCAAAACCAAAAGCCCCCGCAGGGATGGAGGTCACTCAGAGCCGCCCAGCCACTCCTGCTCCTCCCGCAGGCCCCTGCACTGGGGAAGCAGGTGGCCACCCGGGCGACCCCACCTCATCATCTCCCACACTGCCTGCAGAGAAGGTCCATGAGGTAGCACAGATGCCAGAGGCTGGGCCCAGCCTTCCTGAGTCCCCCTCACAGAGGAGCCGCAGACCACAGCACTGCCCTGAAGGGTCACCACCAGCCCCGGTTCCCATCTTCCTGTGGGTGGGACTCGGGGCACTCGGGCTGACTTTCTGCCTCAGAGCTGGCCTGAGAAGGGGCAGGGACAGGAGGCTCTCCCCGAGGTGACGCTGGGCAGCAGAGTCAGGGACACCCCTTCCCACGGGGACGCCGGTCTCAGCCTCACCGCCCGAAGCAAGGAGAGCAGCTCAGGAAGCTCCCAGCCTGCCTGGCACCCACAGCGCAGGGGGCAGCGCCAGCCTCTGAACCCAGGGATCTGGACTCCTGTGGCGGTGCCCTCACCCACCCACCCGGGTGGCTTCGCCCCGAGGGGAGGTGGACACTCAAAGGTGGCCACGCAGACAGCTGCAGGTGCAGAGCAGGGCCCTGCAGACGGCGGGGGCGGGGCGGGCTGGGGCTGCAGCCCACCTGTGGGGCGTGGAGCGGATGAGCTGGGACACCTGCTGCATGTAGTCTGTGGCCAGCAGCACCACCTCCTCGTCCTCCGAGAAGTCCTCCTGGAAGATCTGGTCCAGCAGCCACTTCCAGCGCAGCTGCGGGGCCGAGGGCAGGGTCAGAGAGGCGGAGGGGACACCAGGGAGGGTCCAGGTGCACGGAAAGCAGCGCACCAGCCCCATGAGGGGAGCCCGGCCCGGCCTGCGCGGCGGTGCAGCCACACTCACATAGGGGGTGATTTTCTGCAGCTGGCCCAGCGTGACCTTGTTGTACATGGCGCTGACATCCGGCCCCAGGTCATTGTACTCTGACACGGTGATCTGGGAGGAGACTGTGCTGAGCAGCCCTGCCCACAGTATAACGATGAGGACAGCACACGGGACAGTTTAGTGGTGCCATTGCCCTTGGTTCCAAGAATGTGCGTGATGCCTTGTAGTGGGGCATAAAATGCTAAAAGGACCCTGGTGGGCTGATGCACACCTGTCACTGAGGCACTTTGGGAGGCTGAGGCGGGAGGATCAAAAGTTCAAACCCAGCCTGGGCAACTTAGCAACTTAGTGAGACCCTGTCTGAAAGTAACAAATGGAAAGGGCTGGGGACGTGCTCAGCGTGGAGGCCCAGGGCCTGCACTCAGCTCAGTGTTTGGTGTTGATGATGAGATCTTCACCCTGCAGGAGCCCAGGACTCTAGTGAGCGTCAGGAACAGTGAAGGACGTGGAAGATCTTTCCAGTCCTGGGTGACCCTTCCCAGAACAACCCAAGTTACAGAGGCTACAGGAGGAAAATTTAGTGCAAACAAACTTGCTCCCTGGGGAAAAAGCAGGGCTATGGTTTGCCTGTGGTTTGTGTGTCCCCAGGAGGGCAGGGTTTGTGTGTTAAAAAGGGGACCGATTACAGGATCTGAAGAGACACCAAAGCATGTCACGTGCTAACATTGTTCACTCAGTTTTTTGAGACAGAGTCGGCTATGTAGTTCAGGCTGGCCTTGACCTCACAGCGATCCACCTCCCTGAGCCTCCCCAGCACTGGGATTACAGATTTGGGCCACCACGGCTCGTGTGTTAAATTTAATTCTCCATCCAGAGGTATTAAGAAGGTAGAAAAGCCAGGCACGGTGGTGGGCATCTGTGATCCCAGCACTCTGGAGGCTGAGGCAAGAGGATGGCCACAAGTTCAAGGTCAGGTCAGGCTGAACTACCTAGGAAGAACTTGTCTCAAAAAAAAAAAAAAAGGTGGAGATTTAATCAGATGTTGATATTTAGAGGTGGGGCGTTTGCAAAGGATTAAAATTAGACAAAATCACTAGGATGTCATGGCCACAATTGGATCTGGGTGGCTTTTTGAAGAAGAGGGAGTGGTGATGCATGCCTCTAATTCCACCACTCTGGGAGGCTGAGGCAGGAGGGTTGAAAGGTCAAGGTCAGCCTGGACTAAGTAATGAGTTCAAAACCATCTGCAATACCTAGCTGGACCCTGTTTCAAAGCAAAAGATAAAACAGAACAAAATCCAGATGTGGTGCTTCACACTTGTAATCTCACAGCCTGGGCAGCTGAGGCAGAAAGATTGAAAGTTAGAGCCCAGGTCCAGGTAATTTAGTGATTTAGTGTCTCAAATTTAAATTTAGTGTCTCAAAATTAAAAAAAAAAAAAAAGCCTGAGGACGTAGTTCAGTGCGAAGGACCTGGCTTTAAACCTCAGCACTAAAAAAAGGGCAGGGAGGCCCAGTGTGTTGTGAGCACCCGTAGTCCCAGCCGCTCAGAGGGTCACAAGTCTGAGGCCGGCCAGCTCCTGTGCAGACTGGAAGGCCTGGGTGGAGGTCTCTCAGTGGCAGAGTGGCCCAGGTTCAGTTCTACCACAGCAAAGAAGAGAAAGTGTGTTTTTGTGTAAGGGAAAAAAGAGTAATGTTTGCACCAACCTCGTTCAATACAAGAAAAAGAGAAAGTGTAGGACAGGTAACGGCCTCTGGCAGGCTTGGAGCAGGTTCGTGGAGGAGGGACCTGGTGTGAGGGGTTTTGGGTGATCGCGTTCGCTGACCTTAGGAGAGAGTCATCTGCACGGTTTTCTGTGTGAGCGTCAATGTCAGAAGCACATGATGAAAACCAGAACCGGGCATCCTCTAGAACAACAGTTTCCCGGACACCGAGCTGCCCAGAATAGGAAACTGGGAGGCCCGAGCTGCCCAGAATAGGAAACTGGGAGGCCCCATTTCTCCCGTTGGCTTAGGAAATGAAGGTCATGCTTTAGTGAGATCCAATCCTGTGCTTCCTTCGAGCTTCACTCTGCTTCTGGTCATTTAAGGAGACCAAGTGTTTGTTTGTTTGCTTGTTTTTGTGCCACTGGAGCTGGAACTCAGATCCATCCCCAGCCCCTTTCTATTTACTTTGAGACAGCCTCAGGCTCCCAAGTACGGCATCACAGGCATCACCACCACACCCAGCAGCGAAGGGAATCTTGTCAAAATGCGTATTCCGATCATCTAGCTCCTCTAGGTATTCTGGGAAGATTGTGTATCTTGTCTGAAGTTAGATGCTTGCAGCGGCCCTTGTTCAAGGTGTGGCAGAGCACAGGGCAGGGACCCAGGCAGGGGCTGGCTGGCGGGGCTCGAGCCTCCTGTGTGACCGGACGGCTTCTCTGCAGGGAGCCGGGCCATGACAGGGTGGGGTCCCCTGGGCGGCCGCTGCCCCTCTGCCCTGGCTCCCTGTGCTTCCCCAGTGCAGGGTCCTGCAGGAGGAGCAGGTGTGGCTGGGGGGCCCTGAGTGACCCCATCCCTGCTGTCCTGGGAGGCGCTGGCTGAGCTGACCCCAGACACTGAGGGTGCCACAGCCCAGGAGCAGCCTCGTCTGCCTGGGGCAGACTGCCCCTTCCCCTGACGCCCCCTGGCAGGGAGCTGTCTCAGCTGGCAAAATCGAGCCAGGCCATCCTAGTGTGGGCCAGGCTGCAGTGCTGAGTGGGCCGTCCAGCATCCTCATGTCCTGGAGCTGGGGACTCAGCCCCACTGTCCCCTCAGCCCCAGCCCCGGCTCCTGTCAGGCTCCTCTTGGGGGCTGCAGGGTACCCTTCTCTGGGCCACCTCCCCAGGCGCTCCGTCCACCTCAGCCTGGCCCAGCACAGCGTCCGGGTGTTGCCCGGGCGGCGACTCGGGCCAGTCAGGAGTGGGGCCTGCACACCGCACCCCACCTGGGCTCTGCCCTGCGTCGCACTGCTCTACCCCTTGTTCAGGCTGTTGTTGCCGTCTGTCCCAGGCAGCCTCTCCCTGACTTCCCATCTAACTGCTTGTCCCGAATCTCGAGCACAGCCCCCTGCTCTCCAGGTTTCCTTCAGCAAGAACCAGCAGCTCAGAGTCACTGGGTCTCAGGTTCTCTTTATTGTTGCCATGTCCCCAGGAGAATGGCGGCCGGGAGGGTGGGGAATCCGGAGGGTGGGGAATCCGTGCTCCTAATGGTGCCCGGTGCCAGGTCTCCCAGGGGAGCCAGAGTCAGGCAGAGTGGCCGATCTGCACACCCGTGGCGGGGTGTGGGCCACTGAGGTCTGGAAGCGGGCCACTGAGGTCTGGAAGCGCAGCCCCAGAGCCCCGCCATGGACGCGGGGCCTTGGGGAGGAGCTGTGGGCATCAGAGCGCGGTGGACCCCAGCAGCAGCACCAGTGTCCAGGCCACCAGAGACGGCGAGAGGCTGGGGGCAGCGCTGCTCTTGTCACCTGTCTGGTCACCTCTCTGGCCAGGCGGCAGCAGGCCGCAGGCGGTGTAGGGCTCCAGGCAGCCGGCGAAGGCCATGAGGTGCGCGATGTAGCTCTGCTCCTGCACGCCGTGCATGAGGTGCGCCTGCGGGCCGCGCGCGAACACCGCCACGTCCTCGCCGCTGTGGGTCTCGGAGCTCAGGGGCACAGCGGCGGGCTGCCGGTATGTGGGGGAGCCTGGGGACACAGCGGTCAACGTGACCGGCCTCCCCTCCTCCCTCTCTCTGCCTGATCCCCGGGAGACCCCCACTCACCACTCTCCTGGGCGGTGACATCTGCCCGCGGGTTCTTGAAGTTCGGGCCGTTTCCGTACAGGATGGAGGTGTAGGCTTTGCCGTCTTTGGCCTTCTCCGGTGACAGCCCTGCGGGGGCGGGGGCACCTCGTTCCTGCACTGCCCACTGCCCGGGCACTGTGCACCCCTCACGCAAACCCCATGAAGCAGAGCTGTGGCCATCGGACAGACTTCTGCCATCAAATGAGCAGCAGCACCCGCCCAGCCCCTGGCCTACCGAAGATGGAGGTCCCCCGCAGGGTGTAGCCCCCGAACGTGAAGACGTGGGAGTGGTCGGCGGTGATGAGGGTCAGGGTGTCCTGCTCGCTGGTGAGCTGCCCGGCCTTGTCGATGGCGGAGTCGAACATGACCGCCTCGGTGAGTGCTCGGTAGGCTATGGTCTCGTGGTGGCCGTGGTCGATGCGGCCCCCTGCGGGAAGCCGGGCGGCTGCTGCTTGCTCCGCTTTCAGACGCCCCTCCTCCCACCCTGCCCCCTGCTCTGCCAGGCGCCCCCTCACCCTCCACAAAGAGGAAGAAACCACGGGGGTTCCTGCTCAGCACGCGCACCGCCACCGCTGTCATCTCCGCCAGGGAGGGGTCCAGCTCAGGGTCTCGGTAGGTTTCATACGCCAAGTGTCCAGGTTCAAATAGGCCTGAGGGGCGAGGGATCCGGGGTGATTGCCAGGTGGGGCCCAGAGGGGACACACCACGCCCCTCCAGGGCGGCTGTCTGGGGCCACCCAGGGGCAGGAGGGAGGGCTCTCACCCATGAGGCGGGTCACGGACGGGTCCTGGGACACCCGGAGCAGCTCTGTGCGGTTCCACACGTACTGAGAGTCCTTCGGGGACAGCCAGGCCTCAGCCCACAGCCCGAGACCGCAGTCTGTCCCGACCCCCAGGGCCCACCCCGTGCGCCTGTCACCTCGTGCTTGGACAGCCACTCCTGCACCAGGTCCTTCCCGTCCTGCCTGGCTCCTCCCTGGGCAGTGTTACTTGGGTACTCGGGGTCCGGGGTCCCCCTGGGGAACATGTACTTGCGGCCCCCGCCCAGGATCACCTGTGGTCAGAGACGGGACCTGGGCTGAAGGGCCCCTGTCCCCTCCTCCCGAGTCCCAGCGTCCCCTCCCAGGCTGTGTGGCCTGCCCTGGGCGGGGCCTGCTCCACTGGCCGCTGCCCCAGCTCCTGGGCCCAGGCAGGCTGCAGGGCTGAGCCGTGGGACACCTGGGACTTTGGCCAGTGGCGGGTGCACCTTCCTTCCTGGCCCTCCCCGCCCTTCGAGCTCACGTCAATGTCCATGTTGGAGACGAGCTGCGTGGCGATGTCCCGGCAGCCCTCCTGGCGCGCTGAGGCGGGCATGTCGGCGTCCGAGTACCAGTTGCGGTTCACGGTGTGTGCATAGGTGCCTGCCGGCGAGGCGTGCTGGACTGTAGTGGTGGTCACGATTCCGACAGACTTCCCTGAAGAGGACAGAGGGCTCAGTGTGTGCTGGGCCATTCATTCAGGCAAACTCCTGTCCCCAGTCCCAGCCCCAGCTCACCTGCTTTCTCGGCCCAGTACATCACAGACTTGACCTCGTTGCCCCTCTCTGTGCTGCAGTTGTTGTAGCGGGCGGCAGCGCTCAGGCCGATGGTCTGGAAGTTGGTCTTGATGCCACACAGGTACGCGGTGGAAGTGCCTGCACTGTCCGGCACCTGTCTGTCCACGTTGTATGTCTGGGAACAGAGACGCCCTCAGCTGTGATCTTGGTCAGAGCCCAGTTGGTACCCAGGCCTGAGCCTGTGCCCACTGCCCCTGGGCCCTCCTCAGGCCCTGACTCTCTGTGATTCCTGGGGCCACCACCTATCCCCAGCCCTGCTCACCTTGGACAGCGCCATGTATGGGAATCGATCCATGGCCAGAGTTGTCTCTGGCCCAGGCTGACCCTGCATCTGCCCCTTCAGGATCCTGGTGGCAGTCACCGTGGACACCCCCATCCCTGAGGAGCAGAACCCATCAGGCTGAGCCCCGGGCTGGCCTGGACTCAGCAGGGCCCTGGGTGCCAGGCAGAGGAGGCGGAGGTGGAGGGGCCCCGGCCCTGCACACTCACCGTCCCCCAGGAAGAGGATGAGGTTCTTGGCCGCAGTCTGAATGGGCTGTAGCTTCTTAGCAGCTGCCAAGGCCTCGGCCCCCTTTTGGTTCCAGAAGGCTGGGTTCTCCTCCTCTGGTGGCCGGGGGAGAGCAGGGGCTGGGTCAAGCTGGGGCTGGCGGTTGGGTGGCCCCTTGCCTGGTTGGCTTTGAGGGAGCTGCATTACCTGGGATGATGCCAAGGGTCAGCTGTAACCTCAGGCCCAGCAGCAGGAGCAGCAGCAGCAGTGCCCGGGCTCCCTGCATGTCTGGAGACGGTGCCTTGTGCCGAATACTGAGTACTGAGTACTGAGTACTGAGTGCTGGGTGCTGGGTGCTGGGTGCTGGGTGCTGGGTGTCAAGGCTGGAACAGCAGCTGGCAAGGCTGTTACACCAGGATACCAGCTACAGCCCAGACTGGCGGGGTTTATATTTCCACAGGCTGTGAAAATCTTTGAGTCCCTCCCTAAACCCCAGGCACCACCCTGCTTTGCCCTGCAGGAACCAAAACCCTGCAGGGTGGGGCCGGACCAGCCTGGGGAGGGGTCCAGCACCCAGCTCAGAATGGGCCCAGCGTTTTCCTCCAAGGTAAGGTGGGGCCCTGAGTTACCCTCTGGGTGGGAGCTTTTGCCCTGCTACTTGGGCCTGGCCTCCGCTCAGCTCCCCTTGTGTTTTGGGGAGCATCACACCCTGAGTCAAGGGGGCCGGGCTCTGTCCTGGGTGCTCAGTGGAGGTGAGGCTTTCGGTGTACAGCCTGGGCTCAGGGATCAGCTTTGGACTCTGGACGCTGGGAGCCGCACAGAGAGGAAGGACGAGGTGGAGTTGCCTGGCTGCCCTGCCACCAATTGTCTGCTTGTCAGGTTTGTCAGGGAAGGTGGGGTGCCCAGGAATGTGGGCCCAGAGGCTATTGTGTGGACAGGGGTGGGGATGGACACAGTGGGGCTGGGACTGGGCCTCCTGGCCCTTGGGCTGCACACACCTGGGCCAGACCCAGCTGCCTCTCTGAGCAGGGGCAGTGTGTGCCCTGGGACAGGCGGGGGCCCTGGGGGAAGTCTGGTCTGAGGGACCTAAGAGGCCTGAAGCCTCAGTTTTGGCCCGAAAGTGTTTTTGCAAGGCCACTTCCAGCATCCAGAGCCCACAGTGGCTGGGACAGGGGAGCAACCTGTGCATTTATCCCCGCTTGAGTGGTTAAATAAAATGAGCAAGGGGGTGCCGTGGAGAGCATCTGCCTGGAGGAGGGAGACGCCACCTCAGGGAGCCAGCTTAGGACCTGAGACTGTGATGTTCGCCATTCCTCATTTGAGGGTTGGGAGAGGAGACCTGCATTTCCTGCTGGGGACAAAAACCCTTGGCCCTGAAGGAGAAACATCTCTGGAGATCAGTACACAGCAGCTTGAGTGTGCTCACTACTGAACTGCACACTGAGATCTCCTGGGGCAGCCGCGCCTGCCTGGCCAGTGCAAGTTCCTGAGTTTGATCCCTGGTAAAAAGAATGGCAATTTTTCTTGTGTGTGTAGTGCTAGGGATGGAACCGAGGGCCTCAAGCATGCTAGACAAATGCTCTACACTTAGCTACACCCTAAGATTGTAAATTTGGGCTTTCTTATTATCCTTAAAATTTTTTTATTAGTACATGTTTGCAGTCATAATGATTGCATTCATTGTGGGGAGCTGGTACATGCATCTTGATTCTTATTCCCCTTCTCCACCCAGATTTTTTTGGTGCTTTTTGGTTTTGGCCAGCATCAGATTGATTTTATGATGCCAGGTGTGGTGACAAATCCCTGTAATCCCAGCACTGGGGAGGCTGAGGTGAGAGCATCATGGTGAGTTCAAGGTCACCCTGGGCTGCATACATAGAAAGACACTGTCTCAAAAACCAAAAGCCAAAACAAACAAAAAACCCAACTCTCAAAGGAGAGTTGTTTTTTTTTTTGGTTTTTTGAGGTAGGGTTTTGCTGTGCAGTTCAGCCTGGCCTTCAACTTACTCTTTAGCTCATGCTGGCCTCCAACTCACAGGAGTCCTCTTGCCTCAGCCTCCCGAGTGCTGAGATTATAGACATGCCTACCATGCCCGCTAGAAATAATTAAGATGGTAAAGTATGTGTTTTGTGCTTTATCACAATTTAAAGAAATTAAAATAGAAAGATATTGCAGACTGGCTCAGCCTGAGGGGTTGTGGAGAGGAGGAATTGTTATTGGAGCCTGGGATTCTGTCCGACAGCGAGGAGGAATAAAACTGTGAAGGAGGAGGTAGGGTGGGAGCAAAGTTATTTAAAGGATATAAAGACAGGCCTGAAATCCCAGCGCTCCAGAGGCTGAGTCAGGAGGATTGCTGTGAGTTTGAGGCATGCCTGGGCTACACAGTGAGTTGAAGGCCAATCAACTACATAATGAGACCCTGCCTCAGCACCCCTCCTCCCCAATAAATAAATAAAGGGAAGGAACCAGATCTCCTGTTGTCTGGGAGGGGTTTCTGAGCAGAACCCTGAGGAGGGCTCTTTGTCTAGGGTTTTAAGGGTTTAGCAGGAGCTTGGGCCAACGTGTGAGCATCATCCCTGCTGAGAGGAGAGTATGTTTCAGGGTGCAGTCTGTGCCCACACAGGGCCCAGCACCCTTGGGCCCATGGCCTGCTGGAGCTCTGGGGAGGTCCCAATGGCCCCAGGACACTGGCGGACGCCCTGGCCCTGGGGAGACCCTGGAGGCCTCGGCTCAGCAGACTCCTCTGGGCTTTTGAAGCCCACAGGGAGGCCCCATTCTTAGCGGCTGATGGAATCCTAACTCCACCTCTCAGTTCCCACTGCAGGGTGGTGCAGGTGGAGGAGTCTCCCATAGGCCTTTGAATAGCCAGGTGCCTTAAACTCCCGGTGCCCTGGGCAGGGCTCTCAGTCTGTGGGGCTCAGTAGGCTCCCCTCAGGCCCTGCCCACCCTAGAGCTGTGAACGCTAGGAGGCTAGGAGGTGACACCCAGCGGTGGCCGAGAGTCCCACCCGCCCTCCACATCTGGTCACTGTGTCCCCGTGTGGCCTCGGCTGTCCTGTGACTGGGAAGCTCGAGCTCTGCTTCCTCAGTGGCGCTGGCCACTCAGGGAACAAATGCAGGCCCCAGGCGTGGTCACTGGTAAGTTCTTCGGAGTAAACGATTTCCCTTAGTATTTTGGGGGGGCCTTGGGACTGGCTCCCTTTTTTCTGGTATTGTTTTCTGATTTTTATTTTTATTAGTCCAAGTTTGCAGTACTTAATGATTACCTTTATTGTGGGGAGTTAGTACAGGCACATGTTGAGGCTTAATTCTCTCTTTTTTTTTTGTACCAGGAATCGAATTCTGGTCCTTGCGCCTGCACAGCAGGTGGTGAAACCACTGAGCTAAATCCCCAGCATCAGCTTAATTCTCTTTATGTCCTTTTCTCCTGCATTACTTCTGTTTAAACAGAGTCATTACCTGGGGTCCACACAGCCCGCTCCAGATCAGTCAGCATCTGCTGGGCAGCAGGGAAAACCTCTCTGGTTTAGTTTCCCGTCTCCTGAATGTTCTGGTGAAGGTGGGGAAATTCCAAGATAAAAGTCAGGGCAGCCTAGCTTGGGCAGGCCCTTAATACTTAGTCACCTGGCTCTTTTTTCTTTTTCTTTAAATTTTTGAGGCAGGGTTTCTTAAGCCACCAAGCTGCCCAGGCTGGGCTGGAACTTGCCATCCTCCTGTCTTAGCCTCCCAGAGTGCTGGGCTCACAGGTGGGCAAGACTGTGCCTGGCTTAATGGGTTGTTTTTTTTTTTACTAGGTTCAAGGTTCAATCTACACTTGGCTTTCGCAGGGCCATGCCACCCCTTTTAAATCAGAGTTTTTTTTGTCAGTGGGAGCCACGTGCAGGCCTAGCACGGAACAGAGAGCAGCCCTGAAAGCGTGCTGGGTCCCCAGTGATGGAGACACCACCTGGTGTCCCCGGTTCTCCATGGACACGTGAGCAGAGTGTGGGACTGCATAACTCTGTAATCATAAAACTCCCCTAGCCCCAACTGTGAATGTGAGTAAATAGATAAAGATGCTTCTTAGTTCCGGGACACTAGATAAGATCTGTATCAGCCATAAGGTCCCAAAGTAAATTACTCAACTCTTTGTTCGAAATTGATGTTCCGGACACTGCTATCTATAGAACAATCTACAAACATCTGCTGACCATCAGTACGTGTCAGCTGACCACTAACCTTTGTTTCTCGTCTGCAAATTTCGACTGTTAACTTCCCCTGCAACCCCCTATAAAAAGAGCCTCGGACTCTGGGCTAGTCACCTCTCTGAGCTACTTTGCTTTGGGAGTGCCGTCTGGCCAGACTAAGGTCTGTTTTACTTTCCAACTTGTCCGGTGTGTTCCTTCCCGGGTGTTCTTCGCTGCAGTCAGCTCCTCCGAGCGTTTGGTAAGGCCCTCGGTCTTACACGAGCACATCGGGCTCTGTGCACTCTTGACCCTGAGCACCAGTGAGGCAGCCCAAACAGCTGCACCCCCAAGAGCCTGTATAACCGAGCTGCCCCTCGGCCACGAGTAACTGCACCTGCTCTTCCAAGTTGTGTCTGTTGTCTTCTTTCGGCAGTGCTGGGGATCGAACCCAGGGTCTTCCCACTGAACTACATCCCAGCCTTCTTATACTTCCAGACAAGGTTTTGCTGAGTTGCTAAGTGATCTAGACTGGGCTTGAACTTTGTGGTTGTTGTTGTTTTTGAGACAGGGTCTCGCTGTGTACCCCAGATTGGCCCTGAATTCACTCTGTAGCCCAGGCTGGCCTCCAGTACAGTGATTCTCCTGCCTCGGCCTCTTCAGTGGTGGGATTACAGGTGAGCACCTGGTGCCTGGCCCTTATCTTCTGTACTCTAACCCCCACTTGGGATTCAATCCAAGGTCTTCCCCTGAGCGCCTTCTCCAGGCCTCTTTTTTAAAATTTTGGGACAAAGTTACTAAGGGCGTGGTGGCACAGCCTGTGTGTCCCAGCACTCAGGCTGAGGCAGGAGGATCTCCTTGAGTTCAAGGCCAGCCTGAACTGCATAGGGAAACCCTGTCTCAAAAATAAAAGTCACTAAGTCCCTATATTGCTGAGACTGAGCTCCAACTTTGGATCATTCCTGCCTCAGCCTCCTAGAGTGGCAGAATTACAGGTGTGTACAACCACACCCAGCACTGTGTCTCGTGAGGCTCCCTTCTTGCTCTGCCATGTGACATTACTAATTCTCACCTACAGGCTGCCCCGGTTCCCAGTGAATTTTCCTCTTGAGTCTGGGCAGCACGAGACAGACACCACGAGTCACTCTTGGAGAGCAAAGGGTGTCTGCCCACGGCCACGGGCTGTGGGGACGCCTGACCCCTGCCTCCACCTCTGCGCCTGAGTCACCGGGTGGTGGCGTGGTCACAGTCCTCCCTGGGCCCAGCTCCCGGGCAGCGCGAGCTCCTCCCTGGGGTCGGGGACGAAGCCTCCGTCACGTCCCTGGGGCCCGTGAGGCCCTCTGAGCTCTGGGCAGGGAGCCCAGCCCTGTGTCCCCCAGCATCCTCCCGGACGAGCTGCCCAGCATCCCTGCCGATGCCTGCTCTGCCCAGGCCCCATCTGGTTCCCCAGCATGGTGCCGTGGGCAGCGCCAGAGCCCCCAGCCCCAGGCTGGCTGCCGCCTGCCTCCCTCCCACCACGAAACAGCAGGATGGCTCGTGGGGGCTGTGGTGACCTGGGCCACACAGGGTGTGCGGCAAGCCCTGGGAGCCAACAGGGGTCACCAAGAGAGGACCCTGCAGCCAGGGCGCACTGGGGAAACAGAGGCACGGCTTCCTGGGGCCAGCGCTCCAGGCGCAGTTCCTCCCTCTACCGAGGGAGTCCCGCCATCTGCCATCTTCGGCCCATCCGTCCCCACTGCTGCTGGGGTTCCGGTAATGAGGCTGGTGGTGTTTTGCTGCCCCCATTGGAACATTTTCCTAATGTGACAAACTCAGGCCTTCCAGAGTGTGGTCTTTCAGGTACCTTAGGTGACATATTGGCTAATTCAGCTGCTACCACTGAGGACATTCGGTGAGACTGAGCTGCACAATGAGGACGTCCTTACTTTTTCTTTTCCCAGAGGGGAATGGGTCTCAAGAAATTGCCCAGGCTGTTCCAGAACTCCTAGGCTCCAGCAATCCTCCTGCCTCAGCCTCCTTAGTAGCCAGGGACTCTGGGCCCAAACCTGGAGTCACTATCTTTCTGATTTTCTCCCAACCTTTTGGAGGAGAGATCCCCAGTTGTTTCCAGGACATTTTAACACCACACTAACTTTACTCTCCCTCCTGAGAACGATGAAGCAAGCTGCAGACCTGGCCACGGTGGTAACAGGCCAAGAAGGGCTGACCTCGTGCTTGGTCAGTCTGGAAGACACGCAGGTGCCTCCTGGTCAGGCCAGAGATGCTGGTCCTCCCCTTGGTAATCACACGCTCCCTTTTGTAATTATTGTAAGGAAGACCTAAGCTTACTTAATGAAAAATACCAATAATGCCACAGGTAATTTGTGGTTATGGCAAGAAATCATTAAGGTGATGCATGAAGAGCCGTTTTGAGGAACATTAGCTGAAAAGACATAAATTGAATAGGCTCTGAGCCTGACTGCATCCACTTCCCCCTCTTTCTGGGGGTCCTTCAGAACTGTTTGTTTTATTTTTGTTTTTTTGGGTCTTGCTATGGCTGCCTGGAAGTTACGATGATCTTCCTGACTCAGCCTCCCAAGTGCTGGGATTATAGGTGTGCACCACGGTTCCTGGCTTCCTTCAGAGTTTAACATCCCCTTAGAGCCGGTGTCGTTAACCCTAGGCTGGGCTACACAGCAAGACCCTGTCTAAAAAAAAGGGATTTTACCTCTGCAATTCTACCTGTTATCTGTGGGGTGGGAGAATGACAGGTCCTACATCACAGGGCGAAGCCTGGTGTGGTCACGCTGCAGGGCCGGGATTAGAGGTGGGAGGGTGGGAGCTGCCGCCTGCTGCAGGCTGAGGGTCTGAAGCCCAGGGGCTGGGCTGGGCCCAAGGAGGTGGCTCCTTCCGAGACAGAACTGTCCCTTCCAAGTGACTGCAGTGGTGGGGCCTGGCTCTGGCCCAGTCCCACCGGGAAGGAAGAGGCAGGCGTCACAGGAGCATCACCATCGGGGCAGGAGGGAGACTGACTTGTCGCAGTGTCAGGGCGGGCGTCTCTTCAGCCCCGGGGGGCAGAGGCCAGGCTGGGGTGGGGGCGGCTGGTGATTCCTTCCAAGTGACAGGTGACAAACTTCGCTGCAGGGAGCTCTGGGCACACAGGGAGGGCGAGTGTGTTCGGGGATTTCACTGGGACGGGAATCACAAGAGCCAGTCTGGCATCTGCTGAGGCGTCCTGTGCCTAGGGCGTCCTGTTTCCTGTCTGAGTGATCGGCCAGTTTCTGTGGCCTTTCCAGTGTCTGGCTGCCTGCTTTCCAGAAGCGATCAATGTTCTTTTTATGAACATCAAGGAGCACAACACAGTTCCAGAACCTGGTTGCAGAAAACAACCTTTTTACATAAAATAGGTGATTTAAATGTCTTCTCCCATTTGGGACTTTCTAGCTATCAGAAGATACCGTGGAACTGTGACAATGATTATGCAAGCCCCAGCCAAGATGATCTCACAATGAGGTTTTTTTTTTTTGGTACTGGGGATCGAACTCGGGTCCTTGCGCTTGTGCAGCAGGCGGTGAAACCACTGAGCTAAATCCCCAGCCCGACAACAAGGTTTTAAATTCAATAAAGCTTTTTTTGGGGTACTGGGGATTGAACTTGGAACCTTCGCTTGAGAGGCAGCCGGCGGCACCACTGAGCTAAATCCCCGGACCCCAATAAAGCATTTTTATATCCTAATAATTAATGAAGAGAGTACAATTTTTTTGTTTTGTTTTGTTTTTGGTGCATAGGGTTGGAACTGGGGTCCTTGTGCTTGAGGCAGGCGGTGGAACCACTGAGCTAAATCCCAGGCCTGAGGTTTTGAATTCATAATCTGAACTCAGCTGTGTGAAATTCCAGCTCCTCTTCCATGCAGAGCACATTGCGAGGGTTTCTTCTCCCCTGCCTCCTTTCCCAGTTGGGTCAGGATGGAGCCCAGTGCCTCTTCTACTCTGAGCTGCACCCAGCTCTGGAACCTTTAATAATTTTTTTTTTTTTTTTGAGACTCTCACTATGCAGGCCAGGGTGGCCTTGAACTCTTGACTATCCTGCCTCAGCCTCCGGAGTGCTGGGATGACAGCCGCGTGGGCCTCCTGCTCACTGCTGCCCCCTGGTGGCCTCTGGCCCTGGGAGCTCCGAGGCCACACCCAGCTGAATTCAGAGGCCTGGAGGCTGCCGTTCCACGCAGGCATCCGGGTTTGCCCCCCGCAGAGACGCTCCTGGGGACTCCAAGCAGAAGGCCTTGGGCAGCGTGTACAGTGCTCGGAGCGCGGGCAGCCTGTCAGCAGGAACGCGCGGTTAGCAGGATAATGGTGCTAACACACCCTGTGCTGAGTGGACAGGAAGCCTGTTAAGCCGATGTAGGGCTTTTCTGCTAAGGGCAGCGTCGGCACTTTGTTTTTATTTGAATCCAAGCTCGTGTGTGTGTGTGTGTGTGTGTGTGTGTGTGTGTGTGTGTGTGTGTGTGTGTGTGTGTGTGTGAAACTAGGGCCTTCACAGTAAGCTACATCCCCAGTCCTTTTCATGTTTGAGATAGGGTTTCTTTAAGCTACCCAACCTGGGCTCAAACTTAGAGATCCTCCTGTCTCAGCCTCCCAGAGTACTAGTATTACAGGTGTGTGCTACCAAATCCAGCTAAAAGAAAATAGATTGCTGAGTGTGGTGGCGCAGGCCTGGAATCCCAACACTCTGGGAGGCTGAGGCACGAGGATTGCCCCAAGTTTGAGGTTAGCCTGGGCCACATAGTGAGTACAAGACCAGCCTGAACTACATAGGAGCTGTCTCAAAATCACCCCTCAAAAAAAAGAGGTTTTCCAACATAAATGCCATTGCAAGATGTGCCGGGCAGTTAAGCTTGAGGAATGAACTCTGCTGGGCCTCCATCCACTGGTCAGGGTTGCCCCGTTGCTGCGAATGGATCCCTGACAGCTCTTGCCTGCATACTCTCTGCCAGTCCGGTCCTACCGGGATCCAATGCCCAGGGCAGCTTCCGGCCCGGGGACCTGCCCAGTCCACACTGCCTTCTGGGTTTCCGAGGCCCGGGGATCTGCGTCCAATGCTGCTGGGCTGGGCTCTGGGGACCCATGGGTCTGGGAAGACACCACTCACCTCTGCCGCTGCCTGTGTCCCCAGCAACAGGGCAGAGCCCCTGTGGTCTCCGTCCGTCGGGCACAGGCCCAGGTGTCCACGGCCAGCCCTGTGGCCCAGCCTTTACCTCCCCAGCGATGGGTCCCCAGTGTGGGGACAGGCGACTGCCCGGCTCTGGGGAATGAGGGTCAGCAGCCATCAGGGAGCAGCCTGCTCATTTCATACACTGGGGCACACTTTTGAAAATTTATTTTTTGGTTTTTTGCCAGTCTCGCTATGTAGTTTAGGCTGGTCCCAAATTTCCAGTGATCCTCCTGCCTCTGCCTTCCCAGTGCTGGGATCACAGGTGCACACCGGGAACATCTGCTACAGAAAAACAGAATGGTGCTGACTCTCCAGGAATGGCAGCCTGAGGGGCCCTGAGAAGTGACCCCGCCTCCTCTGTGGCCTGGCTTTGGCCTGCTGTGGCAGGGAGGGCCTGGGAGTCCTTACAATGAGGCCTGTGTCCTGTCACCTCTTCTGTCAACAATCTCGTGGGGGGGACAGAAGGGACTGGGACCTGGGGACATCTGCCTCACGCATGCGCCACACCATATTCAGTGACGCTAGTTGAATGAATGAAAGAAAATAAAGGGCTTGGGTTTATGGAGCACGGAGACTGCTGGGCCATCTGCTTTGATTTTTCCAGACAGGGCCTCTCGATGCAGTTCAGACTGGCCTTGAACTCACTATGTAGCCCAAGGTGGCCTCAGACTTGCTTCAATCCTCCTGCCTCAGCCCCCGAGTGCTGGGATCACAGGCGTGGCCCCCACACCTGGCTGGAAGGGCTATCCACGGGAAGGGTGGGCTCTCAAGCCCTAGTCATGGCTGGGCAGTCCGGCTGTGCCTGGGGTCCCCAGGCAGGGTCACTGGGAGGGGAGCTGACCCCTCCGCATGGCCAGGCTTGAGTGTTTGCCCTCCGCAGACACAGCCTCACTCTGTCCTGCTCCCTGGGCACTGCCAGGGGCCACTGAGACATCAACTCACCTCTGGGGTGTGGACAAGGCCATTTGGGGCTCCAGCCTAGGAATGAGGGGGCCGGCAGAGAGGAAGTGGCACGGCAGGGCAGACACAGTCCCTGGGGTGACGGCTGGCCCAGTGCCCCACACACTAGGCACTGGTAATCGGCCAGAATGAGGCTCTGCACCCATCTGCCGCTGGCCAGCTGTGAATCATGCCAGCGTGGGCAGGAAGGCTCTGGGAGGGTGACCCCCACTCAGGTCTGAGGGTGGAGCCTGTGCTGGGCTTTGGGCTTCCACACAGAGGCGCTTCACACTTGATTTTATTCCACAACACTGATTGGCTGAGCCTGGTCCCAGGCAGGGGAGGGCAGGGCTGGTGTGGCCTGGCCTCTAGAGGACCCGGCACTCCCTCCAGGGGACGCACTGGCCAGGCCCCAGCCCTTCATCCAGTCCCACCTGGTCCCCTCCAGTTCATTTTTTAAAACTGAGATGCAAAAGTAAAATGAAAAAATAAAAATAAAAACAAACCCCTGAGTTGTTAAAAACCAAATTAAAAGTCCCCTTTGGTGTCAAAAGGTCCTCTTTCTAAAACAGTGGTGGGCAGGCCGGGCCGCTCCACTGGTGCTCAGGCCTCAGGCTTCGCATCATTGGGTTCTGCATCGTCGGGCTCCGTGCCGTCGGGCTCCACATTGTCAGGCTCTGCATCGTCGGGGTCAGGGTCCTCCAGGCCCAGGCAGCCCTCTTGGCCTGGCCGCTTCAGGACGGCACTGTACTTGAGGGCCGTGGCCTCGGCCCGCAGGACCACCTCCACCAGGCTGAAGATGGTGACCACCTGTGGCCGAGCCACACGGGAAGGGGACACAGAGAGGGGCACTATGGTCAGAGCCCGGCCCCGTGCTGTCCGGCCAGGTGGTGCCCAGGGAGAACCACAGAGCTGGAGGCTGGGTGCCAGGCCAGAGGCACAGCCAGGGAGGCAGCGCGGGGCTGTCTCTCAGTGATGTGGGTGTCAGGCCTGGGGCTCTCGTCAGCTTCTCACAGGACCCCCACGTGAAGCGCCCCTGCCCGGGGTGTCCCCAGGGGAAGGTCCCTGCCTGAGCGTGCTGCAGGGGGGACGGGGGCCTGGAACCCAATGTGGGGCCCGCACGGTGCAGATGAGGGCCCAGGCACAGGCGGGGACAAGAGGGGTGCTGACCTGCCGCACCGGCTCCTGCTCAGGGTCCTCAGGCTCCCACATGAGCGTGAGCTCCGGCTTCTTGCCCACCTTCTGGAAGAGGTAGGACCGCAGGGCCAGCGCCTGGGGGTGCACGGCCAGCACCTCAGGCCTCAGCTGGGGTCAGGGACCACCCCGACCCCAGCCTCCGCTTCTAGCTACCTGTAGCTGTGGCGGCACCTGAGGGTGACCAAGTGCCCAGGCTGGGAGTGGGGCTCCCATGTGCCCTTCCCAGGGGCGGTGTCCCTGCTGGCCGCGGGCCTCAGGCTGCAGGCTGCACTGCAGAGCCAACCCGGACCTGCACTCTGCCCCCTCAGTGACCTTCGGCACAGGCCTGGCGTTTCCCGCTCGGCTCAGCGCTTTCTCCTCGGCTCTGCTGTTTTATTGGCATCACGTGCACCCTGGGGTCCACATGGCTGCTAAAGCCAGGCCCTCTGCCGGCACCAGGGCAGGCGTGAAGGCTCAGTCTCCAGGGGGAGCCAGGCCAGCCCTCTTCCTCCTGGGGGGGGCGGGGCACCGAGCCCCTCCAGCCTCAGCTCCCTCACAGGCCTGGAAAACACCCTCAGGCCTGCACCACCTGCCGCCCTCTGCTGGCCACGATCGGGCCTGTTCCAGGTGTCTGGGGCCAGTGCTACCCACAGCTCAGGGAAGGCACAGCGGAGCTACGCAGCCGTCTCGGACCGGGAAGGGACAACAGGGACCACGGCTGTGCTCCCCCGTCCACCTCGTCCGTCAGACCGCTGCAGGCTGTCTGGGGCCTGGCAGGTGCCCGCAGCGGGAGCAGGGGCGGGCAGGGACACGGTGCGGGACCTCGGGCCGGCGCGCACTCACGTTGCAGTAGATGCGCTTCTGCACCCCGAAGCGCAGCACCAGCACGTCGAAGGCTTGGTTCAGGACGCCCATCACCATGGCTTCGGACTCCAGGGGGCCGCTCTCCTGCAGGGACAGCGCTCCAGCACGTGTCCTCCCAGGGCCCAGCCGGGGCCCTTGGGGGCAGTGGGAGGGGCACTCACCTTGACGAGGACGGCGAAGAAGAGCCCAGTGCTGAGCTCTTGCACCCGCTTGGATGCCATGCGGCGGTCGTTGCAGAGGTCGGCCTGCTTCTGCAGGGCGCTGGGCTCCGCGTCCAGCCGCTCCCGGTAGCCTGGGAACAGGGCGCGGGGCTGGCATGGTACCCAGCGCTGCCGCTGGTGCAGGGCTCCGCAAACCCCGCCAAGGAGGCTTTGCAGGCCCAGGCTCCCCGGGCTCGGGCTGCCCCTCCCCGGACCTCCGTGGTGGCAGCGGGCACCCCTCGGGGTGGAAAGCCCTTACCGAGCGCGGCAGCCAGGAGCCGGTGCACCAGGACGTCAGCGAAGCGGCGGATGGGCGAGGTGAAGTGCGTGTAGAGAGGCACGTTGAGGGCGTAGTGCCGGAACTGCGCCGGGTCCTGCAGCACCCCGGAGCAGAAGTACAGCGCCATCTGGGGGCGGGGTGTGTGTGACCCAGAGCCCGGCGGGGGCTCTGCACAGGCCCATGGGCGGCCCTGCGAAGCCAGGCAGGCGAGGGGTGCCCAGACCCCTGCCCTGCTGGGGACGGGCTGCTAGGAGCCCTCAGTCCCTGGCAGAAAGGACACCGGGCTTCCTGGTCTGGGACCGGGCTGGGGCTGCCGCTGTGGCTCAGGGCTGAGGAGAGGGAAGCCAGTGGCCATGCTGGCCAGGGCTGTGGGCTTCCCTTCTGGAGGCCCCAGTGGACACTGAAGAAGCTAGGAGTTCTTCGGGGGAACACAAAGCCGAGGCCACCGCCTGGCCAGAGTGCGTGTGTGGGGGACCCCACCTAGCGGGAAGCCTGCGGGGCTCTCAGTGTGCGGCTGAGCAACCTCATCCCCGCCAGCTGAGGGCCACACTGCACCCCGCGCCCTGTGCCACCCCACACCAGCCAAGGGAGGGAGTCGGCCAGCGTGGCCTGCTCCTTCCTGACCCCGCGACCCTCCCTGGGGCCGAGACACAGAAGCCCCAGCGCCTAGGTAGGAGTTCGGCCAGGGAGCAGGGAGACACCAAGCTTGTCTGGGGGCCCAGCTCTCTGCTCACCCTGGAGCCTGGTGCAGGCCCTGGAACGGGCCAGCGTCTCCGCCAGGAGCAGGGAACCAGGCTCCCAGGCAGCCAGGCTCAGTCACACCCACCCCACGCTCCGTGTTGCAGCCCAGGTGCTCTTGCTTTGTATGCAGGGCCCTGTGTGACGGGGCTGCTAACTCTGCTTCTCTCTCAGTGCTGTGGGGCGCTGGCTCACGCCTGGTAATGCCTGAAGCCCCTGCTGCCCCACAGTCCTCTGCGATGGCCTTGTTCTCAGGACGCTCTGGCCTGGGGGGGCCGGAGCACAGCTAGCAGCGAGGCCAGCTGTCCACCCCATGGGCACTGCTTCTCCTGGCTGAACTGCGGCTGGGGTGGAGGCCGGGACCTGCTCTCCCGCCTCGGGCCCGAGTCAGCCCGTTGGTCCACCTGTCTCTGGTGCTGCCTGGGGCGTCCTCCTCCCCCAGCCCTCTCCACCCCGCCAGGCCCCGAGCACAGCAAGGTTGGAGGGAAGCCCACCTCACCTGCATGGGCCGGGAGAACATATTGGTGAGCACCTCCTTCCGGGCCCTCGAGTACTTGTCAGCTCCAAATATTCTGGTTAGACTTTTCTAGAAGCAAACCCCAGAGACCTGGATGAGATGTAGCCAGGCTTGGGGAGCGGCTCTGGGCCTGTCACCTGCTGACCATGCTCTGGGGAAGAGTTCAGAAGGCTCTATCGGGGCACGAGGGCAGCCCACAGGGGGCCCACCTGTGGCCCAGGCTGGGCCTGCAATCAGTTGCTGCCTGGGCAGAAGGATGCCCAGCTCTGACCAGGGCCCCCCAGGCCTCTGCAGAGCAGGTGCTGAGAAGTCTCCTTCCTGTGGGATTAGAGCCAGCATTCTGGGGTCTTTGGCCCCACGTGGCTTAGCACCCCAAACCACTTCCTATCAGAAACATTCCTGGCTTCCAGTAATCCCAGCCTCTACACTGAAGGCCTCTGGGCTCAAGACCAGGCCGGTCCTGGCCCAGCAGCCTACCCAGCCTTCCTGACCTCCCTCGGCCCCGCCTTGGTTACGGAGCCCACTCCCACTAGGGCCTCTTGTGACTCAGGCCTGTCCCCCAGGGCCTCCCTCTCTGCTGCAGGGAGACCTGGCCATCGGCGAAGAGGCCCTGGTGGGACGCAGAGGGCCCCGCAGCCCTGACTTCTCGAGTCCCCCTTCTCCCTCCTCAGGGCCGCCCAGACACTGCCCGCCCGCCTGCACTCACGTTGAGGGCACCCGCGGAGCTCACGTCCACGGCCAGCCCCATCTGGCTACAGAACTCCACCAGGTCGCCCAGCATCTTGGTCTGCGGTGGGGGATGCCGGCGCAGCAGGGCCTGCTCGGGGAAGGCGCGGTGGATCCTGTGGGCCACTGCCATGTTGGCCAACAGCATGAACTCCTCCACCAGTCTGCGGGAGGGAGTGGCATGAGGGGCCAGGTGGCCACGCGGCCTCTTCCCAAGCTCCCCGAGGGGCCGGCGCTACCGCATCCTTCAGGTCTTCCATCTAATCTGTTCTTCCCCGTTCTTTTTCTGTCACTCCCCTGTCCACCCCTCCTTGCACCGACATGTGTTTCTCTTCTGGTTTGTGTGTGCACTGACTGTTGTGTCAGGCAAGGTCTCACACCCGCTGTGGCCCCAGGGCTCAGCCCTGCAGGGATCTTTCCCAGGATGAACCAGCAGGGTCAGCCACGTCATAGGGCCAAGCTTTTGGGAAAAGAGCAGCCATGGGGGGTGGGGAGAGCATCCAGCCCAAGCACATAGTGCCCTGCTCTGCCCAGCCTGGGCCCACCTGCTCCAGCCAGCTGTCTCCCGGGAAGGGCTGGGCCAGCAGTCTCCACTGGGGTGCCAGCCGCTCCCTCAGTGGGGCAGGGTCTCGGTGTGGTCAGACCTCGGCTGGGCGCTGTGTGCTGCAAACCCAGCACAGTATGTGGAGTGAGGAGGTTCTATCTTGCCCACTGATGGTAGCCATAGCTTTCCGAGTGGCCACTGACCTCTCACCCTAATTTGCTCTTGCGCCCCTCACTTCCTTCCAGAACCCTTGGATCCAGGCAGCTTCAGCAGCTATCCTGTCCGCTGAGATGCAGTGAGTCCTGACTCTGCCCTGTGCTGGCTGTGGGACCCTGAACGAATCACAGCCTTCTCCCTCCTCAAACAGAAGACAGGCCGCCACCAGCCCCAGACCACAGACCTGCTCCGGGCGCGTCAGCTCCCCCAGAGACACAAGTGGAACCCTCCTGCTCCCCGTGCTGCCAGCACATCCTGCCATTCTCCTTCCGGCCACTCATCACCCTGCCAAGCCTTCCCTGAAGGCCAGGCACCTACTGTCCCAGGGCTCCCAGCGTCACAGTGTAGCACCCTGGCCTCTTCTTTCTGGCCTTCGTACCCAGACCGTGTCAACCCAAGAGGAGCCCCACTTCCCGCTGGGAAGCAGCACCATCCACGGCCCAATGCTCAGGTGCTTGTGTTCAGTGTGCATTCTCCCACTCAACAGACAGTGCTATGGGGTCCAGCACATTCTAGGCCTTGCTCGCCACACAGTCCCAGAATGCCGAGTCCATTCCGTGGGTGGAGAGGGGCACCCAGAACCTCTGGGTGGACCTCAGACTGCAGTTTGCAGGCACGGCCTGCAGGTGGCAGCACAACCCCACAGCAGAAGGCAGCAGGGACCAGGACTGGCACTGGGCGAGGCGGCTCCACATGGGGCCCCATGCTCCAGCCCACACAGGTCAGAGAGTCCCTCCAGCAGTGCCACCTCCTCTCCAGCTCCTGGAGGGGATCTCCTGCCTCCTCTCTCCCAGTCTCATGTAAAGATAAGGATAGGAATAGGAAGGGACAGGGAGCAGGTGGGGCCGCTGCCAGGAGCCCCAGGCACTGGCAACAGACCTCAGGCAGTTGCTTCCGCAGCGACCGAACTGCCTGTCCTCCTTTACCCAGCACTGTCGCGAAAGTCACTGGATGCCGGGAGGCCAGGAGCGCACTGCTAACCTTGACAACAGCAGGGGATGCTCTGGAGGAGACGCAGACCTTGGACAGGGCCTGGCGTCCCATCTCCCTGTCTGGTGCAGCCCAGCTGTCCCTCCCTCTGCAGGGTGAGAGCAAGAGAGCCCCTCTCCCGGCAGTTCAGCGGCATCCAGCACTGACCCCAGACAGACGCCACTGTCATCCTCCAGGGAGGTGGCGCAGCAGCAAGTCTCAATTCCCTGGGTGCTGACAAGGCTCATGAATGCTCCGGAGAAGCTGCAGGGACCCGCTGCCCCTCCTTAATACCCTCCTCTCGCCCAGGTTGGGTAGAGGTGTGCAGGGCGAGTGCAGGGCCCCACAAGCCTTGGAGTCAGGCCAGAGGGCCGGCAGGGGACCCCAGTGGAGCTCAGAACAGGCCTGCCAAGGCCCAGCAACCCTGCAAGCAGCCAGAGCTCCCAGAACTCAAGATGCCCTGGGGAATGGGCCCTGGCACCTCAGGTCAAAGCCCTGCAGGGGTTGGGGTCTCTGCTCTCCTGGGGGCCAACCCACTTCAGGTCAATGCCCACGATGGCCAGCGGGGGGTGCCTGGCAGCTTCCTCCCAGGACCTGGGATGTGGCAGGAGAAAGCTTAGAACCTAGAACTTCCGGGTGGGAGAGATCCTCATCACAGTTTACAAACTACAGCCCTGCAGTCCAAGGTCCAGGGCTCTAGGGGCTCCCAGTCAGTGCTCTGGGGCTGAGGGGAGCAAATGGCTTTGCAGGGGCACAGGGCTGCTGGGGACTCTGACCACTGAGCCCCTCAGCTGACCACTCCCTCTCCTGGGAGCCAGGCTGGCTGGATAACAGCAGCTGAGCCTCAGATGATACCCCAAGCTGTCCTGGGCAGGAACCCGAAGGAGGGCCGGGGGGCATGGGGCCGCCAAAGGGGCACAGCCTTGCCTGTTGTCCTGGCCTGGACACCCGCCCTCGGTCACAAGCCACCTCCCGGGTGACAGCATGGCACAGGCATGAGGTCACCAGGCCTGGTGTCGGGGGGAGCTGGCACTCCGAGACTGCCCGACAACTGCTCTGAACAGACTCAGCAAGGCCTCCATCCACCAGAATCACCTTCCAGAACTGCCAGCCAAGTCCTCGGAGATGGGGCCCTCCGAGGCCTGGCATCTGCAGCACATCTGGAGCCTGCACTACAGGGGCCCTGCAACTTGGAGGTCCGGGGTGGGCCTGGGTGTGACAGATGGCTGCGCTGCAGCTAGGACACCAGGGCACCCACTCCTCAGCCCTCACCGGCAGAACATCCCACCTGTGCTCCGAGCCTGCCTCAGTCCCTAATGGCCACAGGCAACCTCCACGCAAACCCACACCTCTAATACGCACAGCAAAGGTGACTTCCACCCAGAAAGGCATCTCCCAGAGTGTCTTAATGTTACTTAAAGAGAAAGGTACAGCTGGACATGGCGGTGCCTGCCTGTAATGTCAGCCGTTTGGGAGGCTGAGGCAGGAGGGTCTCGAGTTTGAGGCCAGCCTGGTGAGCCAACTTAGGATCTGTCTCAAAATAAACTTTAACAAGGGTTGGGGGTGTAGCTAGTGGTGGAGGGAGGCCCTGGGTTCAATCCTCAGTACCACACACACCAAAGAATCAATACAAATATCTGTGAAATGCTGGGGTTTGGTTTATGTCTTACTAGAGCTCACCTATCTGCCTTTAAGAAGGCCGCGTGTCTGTAACATGACTTTGTAAAGGGAGCATCCGAGGGCTGAACCTGTCTGTGGTGTATCCTAGAGGGGGCTGTTTGGGGTCTGAGAGTGGCTGGGGGATCCTGCTACCCTGGCAGAGCAGTCGTCTTGGCAAGCGGAGCACGGTGCCTGAGTGCCCAGCCTGAGGAGACCCCTCCACCGGCCCGGATGTCCTGCTCCAGGATCTGGACTAGATGCCCAGGGCCCCTCCCGCCCCTTCTTCCCTCTGCTGTGAGAGCCCCTCGGTGGCTCCCTGTTTTGGGGACAGCTCCGCTTCCTGGTATCCAGGTTGTTCCCCCTCTCCACACCCCATCCCCACCCCAACCACACGGGGCTCCTGTGGCCCCTTTTGCTTCTGTTCTTCCGTCCTTCCGTACCACTGCTCCCACGGCCTGGAAGCCCTGGAAGCTCCCATCTCTCTTCCTTTGATGTGACTTGCTGTGGGAAGGCGATGGGGGGACCTGTCCCATGTGCTCCCTGGGAACCCCCAATCCACCCACCATGGCACCTGGCATCTGTAACTTCAGTGGCCTCTTGGGCATGCCATGTCCCCCTCCCTGGTGCTGTGTGCTCGGTCCCAGCGCAGAGTGAGGGATGCCTGGGATGGGCACAGCAGGTTCCAGTTCAGGAGCAGGATGGCTGGTCCCTGTCACTGTGCCCTTTCTGCACTCTGGGTGTGTGTGTGGGGGGGGCGCTAAAAGGCAAACAGGAAGTGACCAGCTTCAAGTCCCAGGGTCCCCGAGCAGCAGCAGCGTACATGCCCCAGGACCAGCTGCCTCATGGTGTCCTGGGAACTGCACCCACCAGGACGCCCTGGCCCCACCCTCCAGGAGCCCCGGCTGGGACGATGTGTCCACAGCACAAGGTTCTTCCCGGAGATGATGAGCAGGCAGGAAATGTTTTACATGAGAGGGATGCAATGCTGAAAGTGTGGAGGAAAAACCAAACCAAACCAAACCAAACCCAAAGGCAAGGGCAAGCCTGGAAAGGAAAGAATAGAGGGGCCACTGGATTGAAGGTAGAGGCTGGAAGCCTCCGGCACACAGGTGGGGCCGGGAGACAGAGCAGGGCATGCTTAGGGGCACAGTGAGGAGCTTCGGGGGTCGGGACCCCACACCCGCCGGCCCTTGTCCAGCACTGTCCCAAGGGCTCGGGAGGGAGGAACTGCAGAGCAGGGGCACTGGTGGGGAATCTGGAGCAAGGCACACTGTTCCCGAGAGAGGAGCAAGACCTGCGCCCGTCAGGCCAGCAAAGGAAGAGGCTACCTCATGATGGCCCTAGCACAGCGATGGCAGCAACCCCCTCGGGCAAGGCCGGGTACAGTCAGCTCTGCCCCTCTGCTGTTCGGGACGGCCAGAGGGAGGCTGCATGGCCAGAGTGGAGGGCCCCCAAGACCCATTTTCCCTCTGAGCCAGATGAGAGATGCGCCCTAGCCCTTCCACCCCCAGGACGCTCAGAGAGCAGCTGCAGGAGTGACGGAGGCCACCAGACTCGAAAAACAGGGATGTTTCAGACACCAAAACGAAGTGTGAGGCAGGAACAGCCTCCTCGCCCTCAGCCACAGGGGCACTTGTCACGGCTCCGAGGGAGCCCTGCGCTAATGGAATTAGGCTGCTCGCAGAGACTGCAATTAGCTCTTGGTGAAAACTGCTAACTTGGAAATTTGATAAAAATTGCTCCCAGCCAGTTGCAAATTCATTTCTTCTGCAGACT